TAGATTTTTCGAATGAATGCACCCTAATTCGAGCCTTAAAATTCGTGTCACTTAATTTAATATGAGACTTTGTATAATGCGGTCACGAGGGAGGGAAATTAATTTTTTCACGAAAAAATGAATTAAAATTAATTTCAGTATTTTTTCCTGTTTTAAATTAATGTACATTAAGTTAATGTAAATTAATGTAAATTAATGTACATTAGTTAATTCTAAATTATTCTTTGGAATAGTCCAAAAATTTCTTAGATTTGATAGGATTTTTTTAAGATCTTACTAAGAATATACTGTCGAAGATTTGAGCATAGAAGGTCTTATTCGATCTACCGATATACAGTTTCCATTATTTTTTGTTTCGCTTTTCACCACTTTTACTTTAGCCGTTTTAATCTTCATCCTCACCAAAGTAATTCGTTGTCGGACGCAATGCAGTACATAAAAAAACTAGACCGTCCGGTAACCGTCTATTTATTCTTGTAACAATTGATACAACGTCAACCTTAATATCTTCAAGTGTAAGATACTGGTCGAGATAATCTAATTCAAGAACGACTGGTCACGTGTCGCTGGCATCGGCATGAATTTCTTTGATAGCAGCGATGTTACAATTGGAAAAGTACATCTTCCTTATCTTGACATAAAATTCTTTGATTTTAGCAGGCATTAGCAGCACTAATCCTTGTCATTAAAAACAGACATTTTTAAAATTTTGTCTTATGAAACGCAAATCTTGCTCTGTAGATCCTAAAAAGGTCATTATGTTTCTGCATATAAAGGATAAAATTCTTGTTTTACCGAGCAGGATCCTTGTCGTGCTATAATTTCTGTTGGGCACGTCTTGCCTGTCAGACCTCTTGTAGGGAAGAAAAATATGCCAAAATTTTGTTTGAAATTATAAACTATACACGCACAAGCAACTATGAAAATGAGATTAGTGAAAAATTCTTGTGTTTTCTAAAACATATTTATGAAAAGTCGATTCATTTCAAAGATGATTTTTCAATTTCTTCAGCTCTTCAGAATTGATGTCACAATTTGTTTCTTACATCAAGAGTCTCTGCCCGTCTTAAATAATCATTTTCATAATCTAACATATTCTTAATATTTCAGGAATTGCTTCGTCATGGTTCAATATTTAAACATCATTATAATTATCAATATACATTTTTTGGTTTCGGAATATTAACAGTATTCTGTGGTATATCTGTTATTATTCTATCATCTATCATTTATTATCGCCAATTATTTTACGAAATATGTAAAGTCACTCTTATGTTAAACTTAATTTATCATACGACAACTACACATTTAGCTTTTAATTTTCCATCAGCGTTTTATCGAATGTATCTGTTAGACATTTTTTTAGGTTTTCTTATTCTGATAATCAAAATATCCGATCAATAATTATAAATTATTCATTCTCTAGTGTATTTTAATGGTGTAATATTATTTTTTCATAGTAATTCCTATCGTTTAGCGCGTGATCCTTTAGAAACTGAAAGTTCATCTAATAATGCTCATAGGATGATTCAAAATGATGGATAAGAGAAAGAAATGGACTACGACAATCACTCCGCTAGTACCCATTCCGGTTGCGAGATTTAGGAACTTAATGCGTTTTGAATATGGAGAAAAAAGTTTCAGTATGCCCGGATATCACTTTCAGAACGATAATTATAGCAGTTAGTTGACATCAATGTAAAAATCCCTCTAAGCTACTACCTTTTCGACTTGCTTAGTCAAATACCCTCAGTTAAGTGTGCTCCCTATCAAGCCGACTTTTAAGTAACAAAATCGTAATATTGAGTATGTTCAAGGCTAAAACTAGTTTTGTGCAGGCGTTAACTTAACTGAATAAAAAATCTTGTGTGAACTATATACTTTAATTTCTGCACGAATAAATAATTGATCACCGTCTGAACAGATCGAAAATAAAATCAATGAATGACGTATAAAACACCTTGCGACTTTCAAGTCAAAAACTTAAAACATCACTATAAATCGGTCCTGTTTAAATTCAAAACTAAATCGTCTATAGAAAGAACCCCACTTCTTTTGCTGCGCAATGAAACACTTAGGTAACATGGTGAAATTGTCTTTCCGAGAAATATAAGAACTTTCTTAATGATAATGACTTTCCTATGGCTATCCGTCATTTAAAACAATTCAACGACAAATTATTTTGTTCTACCTCAACTCTATAAAAGTTTGAAATTAAGATCTAAATAGCGACTTACCATCGTTCGACAGGTCCATAATCAGTGTTTTTATCTCTTATCTTTATAATGTAGACGAATGAATGGCTTTATTCAATGATAGAATATTTTCTCTCTCCACTTTTAAAAATAAATTTATCTTTTCTTTGAATTGACGAAATGTACACGAATACAAATAATTTACATTTGTCAGAATGGTAAAGGAAAAAGATAAATGCACATTCTAGCACGTACTTCGGATGATGAAAAAGAATGAGAAATATATTCAGTTTAGATTCCACCCTTTCTATCTTAAAAAAATAAAATTTTCTCTGGTTCGAGTCGAAGCAGATGACTAAAAGCAGATGACTTTTGTTTGTCGAACCGTTCGACAAACAAAAGTCATCTGCTTTTAGTTCAATATTGGGAAGAGTAGGAGTGCTACTTTACTTTTACCAATTATTACAATATCCGGTAAAAGTAATAAACGGTTGTTACTTATCACCGGTAAAAAGGTAATAAATCTTGTTATTTTATTACTTGTTAGCTCTTTATGTAATAATTTTTCATCATTTTACTTATTACTTTTTATTACTTTTCTCCTTATCAGTAATAAGTAAAGTAATAAAAGATTATTACTTGAAAAAAGTAATAAGTAATAACGTAATAAGATTTATTACTTGTTTTCAGGTAATAACTGATACGTTTTATTACTTATCACTTGGTAAAGAATAGTAAAGTGATACCCCTAGGGAAGAGACATTTACCTTTTGCCATTCTCGCTCAAAGAACTTTCATTGTGGCTTATAATAACATAAATCATAGAAGAAATAAGAACACGTGTTAAAATATTTCAGACCATCTCCATATACATGACCCGTGCCTAAGCGGTTAAAGAAAAGAAACAATTAAATGCCCGAAATAATTTTTTGGATAAATTTCATTTTCATGGAGAACACTTCGAGCTCCCCTCTAAATCCTACTCGTATGCTATCAAAATTAGCGCGATAAATGTCGACACTTTTTTGTATCGCAAAGACGGTGACGGCGCGGTATACAAGATAATTATTTCGGACGAAATACGGTCAAAAGCTTTTCGAAATCAAACAAAATCATATTGAACTAACGTCATTTTCTAGACTGTTAAACGTGCGGTGCTCAGGTATACTTGAAAGTTGAACTGTATCGAAGAAATGAAAGTATGTTTATTCAAATGAAAAACGAGCATATCGTAAGTAAACCTCTCAAAAATTTATTTGTGTAGTACTTTCTTCCCTTGAACAAAACAGTATACATTTTTTATTAGATTCGATTTCCGACGAAGCTAATGAATGTCTGTTTGTCTATTTTCTGTCATTTACGATATAAAAACACTGAACTATCTATATATCTTGATAAATGGGTTCAGACACTTTTCGTTTCGGGATAGAATCGCTTTTTCTCGAAATCTCAAGATTGGCATCAAAATAAGCTTGAAAGAAAATAAAATTGAGTTTTGAAGAGTATACACTAATTTAAGAGACAACCATGTGAAGCGAAAAAGTCGTATACCGCTCAAAATCATTTGGAACCTTCAAAACATGATCAGATGAGTACGTTGAATATTGGATGAACTTTAAAATGATACATGACATATAACATGCATATTTGTTGATGCTAACATCTATATAGCATTTCACATTTCTTTGTCAGCCACAAAATTCTGTTTAGTAATTGTAAAAAATAAAGAGATTTAGAACAAATAACGCTCCTTTCTCCTCAAAACATTTGCACACGATAAACAAAATAAGAAAAATGTATTTACACCGAAAACAATAATTTGAAACAAATCTTAAAACTTTTCATCTTCATTTGACGATGTAATCGAATATATATAAACTATTTTTAACAAGTTTGAATTATTTATCTTTCAGAAAGCTAAAAAATAAATGTTTGTTTGCTTGAGTGAGCAACAGAACAGAAGGGAAAAAAAGAAAATGTCTAGCGTTGATGAAACGAAAGAAGGATTACAGAAAAATCACAGATTTGAATACTTGATTTTCTGTCGATTTTCGGCTGATTACAATGACTTGTACGTTTCATTGATACTAAGTCCTTCTCCACTTTCATCAGTTTTGTCCATTATTTCTTGTTATAGGCTTATTATGAGAGTATTGATTTAAGACAAGAAGATTTAAGCAACATAGGGTCAATTCTGGATTTCTCTCTTAAAGAAGGCCAACGAGTTCTGTTGCTAAATGATTTTGCTGTGTTACCACAAATTAAAAGCGTTGTTCGAAAGGTGCAGAAGGAAGAAACCTCTGCGCATGTTATAATTTTAAAATTTTGGATTGGCGAAGCGGAATTACGTGTAACGATAATACGGGAAACGTTAAAAATGTACCATCATATGTAAAGGTTCATTTTTGTGATAAAGACAAGATTTTTTTTGAACTCTAATCATGATCAGCATCGTAGATAGCTTCCGCGGATCACTATTCTTTTTATAAAAGTTCCAGAGAAAGGTTTTTCACGAATAGGCACGCACCGATTTCGATTAATCGAAGTTCGATTATTCGATTTTTAATCGAAATCGGTGCATGCCTATTCACGAGGTTGATCGGGCTGAGGAGGGGCCACGATTTTTCGAAAACTACAGGATTAGTTTTGTTCAGAATACAATCTTGATTATGCTTTGGACTGAGAATTAATGATATAAAGAATCCTCTTCTACACCTATGTCCTTTCTCAATTGTGTGAAGCACCTTGCGGACACAATGCGACTAAAGCGTTACTATATTATGCGTTGCTGGTAACGAGTAACGCATGCGTTATTGCGTTACTAGAAAAGTAACGCAAAAAAGCGTTAAAGTAACGCAAATAACGCTGCGTTACTCGTTACAAAAGCTATGAAAAATAAACGCATCTCATTATTGCGTTACTGCGTTACCTGTAAAGAAACGGTAAAGCGCCACCCCTAGGATGAACACTTATCCGTGCTGGTATGTTCCTGGGAGGCAAATTTTCATTGTGATGCGATTATGTCCTAGAAATCGATGGTCATGTGGTGATGGTGAATGTTTGAGTACATGTAGATGGAATCGGCTTCAGTCTACAAATTTTGCCGATGTAGCATGGTCTGGCACTAACTTTCGAGACATTAATTATATTTGTGAATTAAACAGATTCCTTGACTTATGGACAATACCAGATGGTTTTTGCTGGCCAGTGTCAGTTGCCTATACATCCGATATAGAGACACTGTCTGACAATGAACTATGTCAATTTTTAGTGAAATGTGCATTATGCAAAGGAATGGATACCAGCTGTCCATGTGGTGGTCACTAAATGATTAATTGTTCATATAATATTACCAAAATATGTAAGGACTATATATTTTATCCGGAAGGACCGTTAATTTATCCATTTATCTACACAGTATACCAACGAGACCATGACTAGAGAATTACTAGCCCTGATATATTAATTTTTGAGGGTAGCATTAGATGTCGGGGTTATCAAATTAAAACAACTGGTGGACTTTGGATCTCATGGGAAGAAGAAATTGAAATGATTACGGCGAATATTTTCTTTGCACAATTAACACTGTGCGATAAGTACAACGATACCGCTGATTATCCCTATGCATACACGATAAGAAATTATTCATTGCAGGCACCGAAATTCGATGCCAATTGTTGGAATAATTCAAAAACCTATAATAACCGTTTGTAGCAAATTTCCGATATCTGCAAAGAAGAATGTATATCACAGTATCGTGTACGAGATGGTACAAGAGACTGTGGTAATGTATTGCTAACCGACGAGTCACCTTTTGTTAACGGATCATGTACATCAATTCAGAAATATCGTTTTCGTTGTTCAAAAGATGAACCAACGTGTCTTGAAATAGGAGCGCTTGCAAATAATTTGCTTGGACACACTATATGTTTAAATGGTTATGATCAATTTTTCTGGGGAACTGGAATTTCATCTATAACATGTAAGAATCACAATGATCAAAATTGTAAAACACTGAAAAATTATATTGAAATGTCATCAACAAATAATAATGAAACACTGTCGGCTAACTACTATAACAATGGCATGACATACGACAGTATTCCGTTTCAAAAATACTGTGATACATTTCTTGACACAACACAAAAAATAGATGAATCAAATGTATTTTATCAGGAACGAATTTGTCTGAAAGAACACTACCGTTGTATGACAGGACAATGTATTCCAGTTAGCTGGATTTGTGTTGGTAAGTGTGTGTGTTTCGCCTAGGTATGCATTGAATACTGATCACTGTCCTGCCACTGATATACCCATGTGTGTTTAAGAGAAGTTACGTGAACCGATCAAGTAGTTTTCTGGTAAGCCATAACATAGGACAAAAAAGATCTTTTTTTCTGAAAATGCATCCAATTAGATTATACACGGACAGCTGTGGTTATGAAAAAAATTAGACCTTGGAGCTGCACTTGGGTGTCAAATTTCTAACAAAAAAATCTGTCTGGTAGATTCTCATCAGATGCATCTTGTTCAGCTTGGAATACTGTACAGAATCCATGCCCGTAGTACAGAAACAATTTCTTCACATGGCGAAATTTCGGAAACAAGAGTTGCTGCCGTCTCTAAGATTACAGAAATCTTAGATTTAATCAAGGAAGCCAGATATTAGAAATAAAGTCAATGTGATATTTGTCATCAATACCAAAAACTGACGAGGGAAGGTCCCAAGTGTGGAGTCGGTTTTGGGCTGAAACTAAACGGATCATACGTTATTTGTCGTTCTGATTCTGAATATAATGGCCTCAGGTGCCACCCAGTCTTTGGAGACCTGACTTCGAGAAAACAGGGCTTCCAGAATCAAAATCTTTTCATCTCAAAATCAGTTTCTGATCTATCCAAATGATAAAGCATGTCAAATCACTAATGTACATAAATTTTTTTTGCCTATCGGTCATGTTTCGGCTGAATTATAACAATTTTAAATCAAAAACAGAGCGGTTCCAACACTAACTTCACTCTAGCTCAGTCAAAACATGTCCGATAAGCAAAAAAATTTATGAATATGGGTAAAATCTGGAGAATAGCAGTGGATCTATTGAATAGTGTTAAACATGTGGTAGTCGAGTACTCGGGGAAATTATAACTTTTCAGATAAGAATAATGAAGAGAACTAGCAATCTGTATCTTGTCGCATAATTTTTAAAGCTCACACATATGCACCTATATAGTCGAAAATGTAACTAGGCATACACCAGTTCCGTCTAACCGAATCCGAAAAACCGAAGCCTAAAAGAACCGATGATTTTTCAAGGCTCAATTTTAATATTTTTGATAAGTAAATATATAGTTAGTATTTTCAGTGCAGCAAACCGTTTTCAGTCCAATTAATGAAGAGGAAAACCGGTAATTAGCGATTATCTTTGCAAAGAAGCATTTCCCAGTTCCAGTATGGGGATAAAATTGTTGGAAATCAAATTTTCACACACTTGCTACTTTCTGATAGTTATCCCGATCAATGTCATGCAGAAACATATGAACCGAAAAACTGTGGTGGAAAGCAAGTTACCTGTCTACAAATATACAAAATACAACGGACCAGCTCCCACCGCTCGACTGTTATTTCAATCGGCAAGTGAAAAATTTTCTGAAAGCCGACTTGTTTATAAAAATAACCGTGAAATCAGAAAAATCATTCAAGGTAATTCATTCAAATTGTCTTTTAATCCATTTTTTTGATCTAGGCATGTCGAAAAACTGCTTCATTCGCGTAAAAGATTTTTGTATCAAACTATTGTCTCCGTCAAATCCAAATCTTTAGCTCTTCTAAGGACTGAAAACAATGGAATATTCGAATTTGGCACGTTCGATAACCTAGAAAACAGTATTTTTATCGCACAAAACGCATAAGTGCGAAAACGCGTTTTCCTTGGTGTAGTTTTAAGTTTTAGTCTTTCAAAACCCGCTCAAAACCTCCTCTAAAACCTTGAAAAACAGTTTTACGTGGATTTCGCGATATGCTCTTTCACATTCGCGGATCAAACTTTCTTTTTATTGCAAATGGTTTTTCGACCCAAAAAGCCAGTATTTCAAAAGCCTGGTCTTTAAACTAAACTTGGGCCCAAACAAATGTAATATTCGGAATCAGGACACTCGATTACCTATTGTCCACTAAGTTTTGGGCCAAAAGCTTCTGGGCAGTTGGAGGCCTTCCCTCGTCAGATAGAAGCAGTTTCGACATCGGTGGACGATTTAATTGACCGAATTGCAAAAAAATCAGACATAACGTCAGAAAGCAGAAGAGATGGATTTACCAATAAAAACAGAAAAGTCATTATCAGTTTTACAAACGGAACATACTTCTTTTATGTGGTTTCAATTAATTATTTACATATTAGCCAATATGAAAGACCAGCTTACTGGTATTTTTAGGTTTTATGAACATCTAAGTAAGAAGTATCCAGTTTTCAGCGACGTTGATAAGCTTATGAATGAGTATGAAGAACCAGCAACAGCAGCTATTGCTGAACTGGTTGATTTATGTCAAAAACAATATCAAAATAATCCAAGAGAATTATCTGTCATTCAAAAATTTTCAACAACTTATAAAGCGCGACAATATTAAAATGACTTTTATCTGTAACTAGCTGAAGTACCCGGCGCAGTTGGTGTTGAAATCCGGTTGTGAATGTTTTTACTGTCGCGGCGCAATCGCGATAAAATCTTAAAATGATTTTAAATCTGATCGCGACTTTTTTTTCTCGCGTCGTGACTTCCGCTGTCCTGCCGCGAGAAACGGTTAGTCGCTATTCATCGTTTTGTTTTGCAGTTCAGTAGTATATAAAAGAACGGGAAGAACTTTGTAACTCACCAATTAAACTAAACATGTGTACCCAGGTCCACTGTTCCGCCTCATTCGCGTTGTGACCGCTACGATTTCGTGCTATTCGCAGCACGAGAAAGTCATTCTTGCGCATAACCACTACTTCTCGAGTGATCGCGTAGCGACAAGAAGAGTTGCTGCAAGAGATCATAGCGATCGCGTCGCGAGAACAAGACTAACGGCGTGAACAGCGCGATCAGTTCTGTGGATCACGACCTCATAGCGATCGCGAAAATCGTGACTTTTGTCGCGAGAATTATAGTTTTGGACCAAAAGCTTCTGGACAGTTGGGGGTCTTCCCTCGTAAGTTGAACAAAGCACACTGCAATTAGAGAAGGGAAATGATTAGTTTTGAGTTTTAAACTCAGCTTAAAACACTAGCTAAAAAGGCGGTTGTAAAACAAATTTTCTTAATTTGAGCAGTCGAGTTTAAAAATCAAGATCATAAGTAACACAAATATTTCAATATTCAGCGGCATTCAGTGTCTTTTTGCTTTTTTCGCATCGACCAACCAGCAGATCACCATATTTCGTTTTCTGTTAAAGTAGTCCATCAAATATTATACGAGTTGCTGGTGGGGTAATATGCATGTTGATTATCCGCTCTATCTTAGAGAGCAAAAAGACTTTTGGAGACCCGATTAATGCCATTCTGGAGCCAGAAAACTTGAAAAATCACTTATTTCATGATATCAATTTTTCAGGTATTTTGAGTCTAGCATACCAAAATCAAAAAATAAATTTTGCCTCCGATCCGACCACGATCGTGACAGTTGATACGTATTGTTATGGCCACTTTCTTAACAGGTTTATCTCGTTCAAATTATGATAATATATTTTAACGAACATCTAACAAAAAACATACACTGTCCTTCTCTTTCTTAAAAAGCATAAAGAAAAAAAGAATTCAATATATATCATTCACGTTTACGATTTTCATCTGATAAGGACAGAAAAGAATGACTTTATACTTCATATGACAAAAAATTCATAACTGTTATTGAGAAAGAAAAAGGTGTAAAAAGGTACGTGAGTTTATTACATTGTTAGCAGTAGTAAGGCGAGTTTAGATGGGTAGTTTTACGTTGTTTGACCGCAAAATTTATTTATGTTTATTAGATTAATATGATGAATTCTGAAACGTACCTTTTCGTTGAGTCTTCTTAGCCTTTTACCCCCGGAAGGTATTTTTTTGAAGATCCATGAAAGACGACTACTAAAGTGAAGTTCTTGAGTGCTCACGATGCCCATTAGATAGTTAAAATAAAATGAAGTTGCCTAGGTGACAGAATATGGAATGTCCACAGGCGTGGACATTTGCAGGGAACAACATGAAAAACGCGATTTTTTTCCTCTGTGTTGTCCGAACTTGTTAAGGCACATCATTAGATGCAGTTTTATCTGGTGATCTGGCCTTATTTTTTCGATTTGAGCGAGTTTCCTCGAGAAAAACGCAAAATACTGCGAACTCCTCAAAAACGGATTAGTGCGAGCTAATTTTGCAACCCTATCTAGTGCTTTCGGTGAAGAGCTAGCACCTTCATTCATACGCCATTCGAACCGCCGCACCGCGTGCTGCAAACTAATGGCTTGATTCTTTGTTTTTTGGGTTTTAAAGATCTAGTTTTCTGGAAAACCTAAAAGATACCTACAACTTTTCTTAATGAGACATAATTTTAGCCCGCGCATTTCTAATTAAAATGAGACATCTCCCAGCTCTACATGACCTTTCTTTGCAAAGTTATAGAATTTACGAGAAAAGCCCTAAAAATTAATTTCTTATTTCTGTAGCTTTGAGCTGACAATGAACATTTAGGGCTTTTCTTGTAAATTCTATAGCTTTGCAAAGAAAGAGCCTGTAGAGCTGAGAGACGTTTCATTTTAATCAGAAATGTACGGGCTAAAATTATGCTATATTAGTAATGGTTTTAATTATATTTCAGAGTTTCTAAAAACCTGGTTTTCCAGAAAAACGGGTCTCCAAAAGCCTAAAAAAAGAATCGAGCCATTAGTGTGTAGCGTGCGATCCGGCGGTTCGAATGACGTATGAATGAAGGTGCTAGCTCTCCACCGAAAGCACTAGACAGGGTTGCAAAATTAGGTCGCACCAGCGGAGAACCACCGATTTTTAAATTTCCACAGCCTATCCGATAGGCCCGATCTAGCTCTAGACCACATGTCTATACTCAGTTTGAGTCAAAGAATCCGAAAATTACATTGATGAGATCGGAATGTAAAATTATTAGAAGATAATAGTGATTTTCTCAAAAGTCAGATTTTGGTGTTCTTGAGGAGTTCGCAGTATTTTGCATTTTTCACCGGGAAAAGTCACTCAAATCGAAAAAATAAGGCCAGATTCGTGATCACCAGATAAAACTGTATCTAATGATGTGCCTTCAAGTCAAAAATAAAAAGTGTTGATACTTTGAATTACTGATACCTTACAAAAAATGTAAAACAAAAAAAGCTGTACTTTTCATGTCACACCCCGCTGATGTCCACAGGTGTGGACATTACATTACTGAACACGGTGCACCAAGGCAACTTGACAGAAACCTTATTTTCTTGTGTAATTATAGAGTAGATCCTTCTAGCAATAGTTTTCAACCACCACATCTGAAAACCGTTCTATGCTAAATCAATGGAAAAAGCTTTTACAAAGATTCGAAAATTTGAATTCTTTGATTTCAAACGTTAATTATCTCAGTCAAGATTCCATAGAAAAAAACTTCTTTTTTACGAATCGAGAGCTGTCTCTAAGGTTGGAACAAAATCCGGTTCTGATATGACGCTTCGTTATTTTTGTATATCGATTTTATTAATATCCGCGGGTGTGGACATCCGGGGGTAACAGGTTAACTGAATACATTTGCTAATAAAAATGGGCTGCAAACACAGTAAGATTGCAGTTGAAACTAGCAATAACAATGTATCTACATCAATAAATCTTCAAAATTTACAAACAACTACACCAGTATCAGTCATCACTAATGCAACGACGACAACGTCAGATACGCAAGTGACAGTATTTAATCGTGAAAGGGTCAATCTTGAATCACACCAATTAATTTGGTTGGATCATAATGTCAGCAGTAATAACGACATCAATACTTCAACTACATTCGAAGGTTTAGGAAAAATAGTTGCTTATACGAAACTGTTCCATGATATTGAAGGATGTTTGCAATATATTGAACGAACGAAAGACACTGCCACATTTTTAGTATGTTCAGGTAAATTGGGACAGGCTCTTATTCCTCAAATTCATAATTTAAAAACTATTTGGCTAACCTACATTTATTATCACAACAAACAATACCATCAACAATGGGCTTCAAATTATTCAAAAGTACGTCTAATTATGTTAAAAGAAGTTTGTGGATTTTTCATAACTCGAAAAAAATCAAATAATATTCTAGATAAAACAAGTTTATGTAACGCTGGAACACTTATTGAATGACTTGACACAAGATGTTGAGGAATATTTAAAACATGTAAAAGATGGATTTTTTAGTGATATAGGAAGAAAAGATCAAACAATAGAATATTTCTTCTCCTCTTGGGAGACATATTTCTGTAATTTTCTGGTCCATTTACCGTATCCAACAGAATGTTTTAAACAATTCATAAGTATAATGAAAAATTATTATGAGGGAAATACAACACAAGTAGGCATTTTAAAAGAATTTGAACACGATTATAAACCGGACAGAGCTGTTTGGTGGTATACAAGAGACACATTTCTTTATCGCCTGATGAATCGAGCTCTTCGTCAACATAATATTGAAGTCATGTTTTTATTTGGTTTTTTTTTACACGATATCTATCGACAGTTGAAAAAAGAACATGAAAAATTTATATTAACACATATAGAAAATCCAGTGGTTAAAGTATACCGTGGACAAGTTATGTCGAACGCTGAAATTAAAAAGCTCAACCACTCTAGCTTGATTGTAAACACTAGTTTCTTTTCAACATCTCTCGATCGTTCTTCAGCAACAGCCTTTCTAGATCAATCGTCACAACATAATGATGAACTTCAAAATATTTTATTTGAAATTGAAATTGATGTTCGTCAACAATCTCGTCCGTATGGTAATATTTCACATTTAAGTCAATTTGAAAATGAAAACGAATTATTATTTATGATTGGAACACAATTTAGAAACGATAATATTTCTTATATTGAAAGTGAAAAAATTTGGATAGTTAAACTAAGCTTAATTTATACCACTGACAATAAGGACAATCAAGATTTTAAGAATACAAGCAACAGAAGAATTTTAAAAAGATGCGTTAATACACTATGTGATGTCCGTTTTATGTACAATGTGTCAGCTGAAGATGTAAACACAATTTTTAATGGATTGATGAATGATTTATATCCATCAGAAAAATGGCTATTAGCTGTTAAAATGGGCTGTTTAGCAAGAAAGGCACAGCGGAATTTATTCGGTTTCACTTCGGCATTATCAAATTACAACGAAGCAATAAAAATTTGGACTAAATTTATGAACGATGATGAATTGAATTGTTCATTTGATATTGGTACGATTCATGAACATATTGGTGGGTGTTACTATCACAAAAAGAATAATTTAGTTAGCGCTAAGGAGCATTATGATCTAGCTATTAGTTATTTTCAATCAGCGATTGAAAAAGTAGTGATGGACTATGAACTAATGAACATACATGATAAGCTGAGAGATGTGTATCTACTTAAAATGGAGGTTAGTAATGATAAGGAAGAAAAAACAGAAAATGGTTTAATGGTTATTAAACACAAAGAACTATCTATACAAAATATGTTAAAATGTCCTTCATCTAATGATATGAAAGCTGCCTCTGACATGGAAGATCTAGCTCATATTTACCGATCGATATTTAGATATGATGATTCTTTGATTAACTATGCAAAAGCTCTTGAAATTTATCTACAACATTTTGAACCTGATTTTTTAAATATTCGTTTGATTTGTGAACAAATAATCAAAATCAACATTGAATATAAATATGATTATCATTCAGCACTTAGATATCAATTACTCAAACACGAATATATATTGAAAGACTGTGCACCGAAATCAACGGATAATGAATATGACATTGATCATAAGATAGTACAAACAGTTAAAAGTCATAAAGAATTAGCTGATATTTATATACTATCACATCAATATGACTTAGCTAATGAAAATCTAATAATATCATTGAAATTATATAATGAAAGTAAGAGATCTTTCGTAATACTGGAAATTGCAGCTGTTGAAGAAAAATTAGCCGATGATTATATAGCATTATGTCACTATGAATCGGCTACTAAACATTTAAACAATGCAATAAAATTATATAAAGAATGCGAATGGTACAATAAAGACAAGAGAATTGCAGCGATTGAAGAAAAAATTGCTGATATTTACACAACAGTACGTCAATATGATTTAGCTTCTGAACATTTAACGAAGGCAATGGAATTATATCAAGGAATTGATTGGTATTTTGATAAAAAGAAAATTGTCACTATTCAAGAAAAGATCGCAACAATTCAAAAAAACATTAAAACTGTACAAAGATCGACGACGCGTAGAACATATGTTGATTTATAAACCAATCGTTTTGGTGGCGAAGATGTGCCTTATGAATGGATATTGGTTGATCCAAATGTAAGTAAAATAGCAGCAAATTATCGTCGTTATTTAGAAAAAACATGGAATGCCAATGAGAATGAAATTATTGATGATGTATTTCATCTTTATATTCAACGGAATTTGAAAGAAAACCATAATGAGTGCTATCAAAGCATTCAATCCTATTTCCAAAAAGCGACAAGAGAAAACGATGTTACACAAGCCATACGAGCATATACGGCTGAATCTTCCCGAGGAGTGAGTGGCTTCTATTCAATCCTTAATGATCATTTGGCGAAGGTGGTACAAGCGCGAATTGACGATCATCCGACACGAAATCAGAACATAACTATATACTATTGGAAAGGATCACTAGATATTGCAACGTTATTCACTTATCATCCTAATCTTAAACAATATGCTTTTAAAGGGCAGACCTTTCGAGGCATGCTAGTTGCACAAGAAGAGCTTACTCATTTCACCGTAGGACATTCCTGTGGATACAGAATTCTCAAATGATCACCTAATAAATGAAGAGGCCACTATCTAGTGATCCTTCCCAATAGTATATAGTTATGTTCTGATTTCGTGTCGGATGATCGTCAATTCGCGCTTGTACCACCTTCGCCAAATGATCATTAAGGATTGAATAGAAGCCACTCACTCCTCGGGAAGATTCAGCTGTAATGTCGTTCTAGAACGCTATTCTGAGCCTTTGCTTACTTTCCGCCTTATTTCATTTTTTAGCTTAAAGTCAATTTCAGACTTTTTGCAGGGAGATAATCCTTGTTACTACCATGGACACATTTTATTCTTATCTTTTTTTATGAATTTAACATACATAAAAGGAATCACATAATTAAAGCCGAATATAAGAAAATTTCTCTTACTATTATTGGATATCAGGTGCAGCGTTTTTAGACAGAGCTCAAAATTTTGTATATGTTAAGAGGTTACAAGTATCTATTATTGGTTCAGCAAAGATCGCAATCGATAAAGCTGATGAAATGATAAGCTCACAAAATAGCATCGCAGTCGAGGAAGCACCACACCCCCATAATAAAGACCACAGTCGATTATATGACTTAAAAGCCAAATAGATGACTATGGTCTTCTAACTCTCTCCCTAAAGTAGAAGGTCAGTGGTCTTCTATTATGTCCGTCAGATAAAATCGGAAACTGTCCTATACGTATACCTGCATATTTTTAAACAAATTTCGTGAAAATGTTGCTCTAATAGATGATGAACTCAAGTACGTAGGGAGTAACCGTTGAGCTACTAGTAGGCGACAAAACTAGAGCGCAGTAGAAGATCAGCCTTTAGAATTCGACTTGCCGGACAAAATAGAAGCCCAGATGGTCCTCTATGATGGGGGAAGCACAGTATTTCAGTGGATTATCACATTTTAATTATATTAGTATTAGTTTTTGAACTGCTTTTCTCCAATGACCTATGATTTATTCTAATAAAAAATATTCAAGAAATTTGTCCTTCTGACTAATATTAAACTGCACTACATTATAGACAAATGTGTAATGTGGCTTGAATATTGAAACAATTTATATGCATTGCGTCTATACGTTTCAAAGACTTATTTCCTTAAACGTCGAACACATTTACAAGTGATAATGTGACGCGTTGCTTTTCATTACAAGGTAATTCATCTTAACTGATTCAACTGGAATATTTTCGAGTGTCTATAGTGACATAAATGCTAGACTTTCATCTTGTATTGGTTGTGCAAATCAATTCTTTTAGTGTGTAAGAAAAAAACAGAAATGATGATTTCTATTTATTCTCTGCTCACGTACAGTGAGAATGAACATAAAGATAAATAAAAGCATATTGATGCAATTCAGGCATTAAGACATACGCAAAATGAATAAAAGTTTCGCGTTTTTCTTTTTCTGCACACTCTAAGGTGTACTTTTTAATAGAACGTGTATATAGATTTTTAATAAAATTAAAAACTTTTTTATATTTGTCCGGTTTTAATACCTACTAAAATAAAAGTAGCTTTTTCCTTGCATTACACCTTTTTCCACAAGGCAGTGCGGAGTCATGACTTATATCCCGAACGGGATATTTATCCCGATCGGCCTATACGATTATCCCGATTGGGCTATAAATCCTGATCGGGATATAATCAAGATTCGAATCGGGATATCGTTGTATCCCGATCGGGCTATATTACTAAACATGTTCAAAAAGTATTGAAAGTAATTATGATCATCCGCTGATCGTCTTAAGTGAGACTTAAAAGTCTCTTTCAGTAAACTAAAGTA